CCGCAGTAAGTAGCCAACTTTTCTTCATAAATATACTACTCACCATTAGCATTACAGTCAGGTCCTGTATATGTAAAACTTATAGATCATGGTGTAAACTCCTTATTAAAGCTGCAACAATCACTATACTATTATAGGATTACTATTACTGTTAATATAAACATACTATTTATAGTAACAGTGTATCAAAAGATTACATGTAATGGGAAAGGTGTTTGTAGTGTCAAACGCATGGGTTATAACCTAAATTAAGTTTAACCTTGATTTTGATTGTTGGTGCAAATTTAAAAAGCAAAATTTAAAAGAAGCATTATGCTAATATGAAACAGTTGCATACAAAAGAGGCAATTTTAAAGCTTAAATCATTCAGACTTTTTAAATGGGACGTTAAATGGGAGTTAAATCAAAGCCTTCAGCTCTTCCCACTCATTTAGAGTGGCATTAAATCTCACATACTCTCTCCAATATTTCTGTTTTGTCCCTTCTGTTTGTGTAGAAGTAAAAACTTTTCATCATTGCATGCCTCTAACTTAACTTTGGCAGATAAGACTCTGGACAAGTGTTGGCTTTCTAATGGCGCAGGCATCGCTCCAGTCTTAACATTTAGTCAGGCAGATTAGTTTTAGGAAAAAGGATAGATTGCCACCCACCTCCGCTTGTTTTTCAATTGCACTCGTAAGTTGCAGAGGAGAGGCCTGGATGAATGATGGAGATGGAGATCTGTTTACAAAGTTTTCCCTCAGGTCGAATTAATTTGTTTGTTTTGTGGTTATCAAAACAATTTCCAATTTTGTTTTCTGTCTGATTTCATCCACTTCACTTTCATCTCATTTTAATTAAAGTTGGGTTTAATTCTCTTCGTCTGTGTGTTGGCCATTTTATCATGTCTCTTCAGTGATATTGAAATGCTTCTCTTGCTCTATATTCTAATTCATTTTTAAAAGTTGCTTGATTGAGCACACACAGCCAGTATGTTTTTTTCAAATGATCTATTCTTCTTCCTTACAGACGGAGGAGAAAGCACACTCAGAGGTAAGGATGGCTCTTATTCCATCAGTGTGCATGTCTTCTTTTCTGTGGCACCTTCCTGCTTCACATTCATACAGTTTGTAGCTGCTCAGCTGAGCTGTTGGCCACTGAACAGCTCTGCAGTTGCTGTTTAGAGTTAAGTGCCTTGCTCATGAGTACCTCAAAAGTAGCTAGGAGGAAGAAAAGAGGACTTTTCTTATGTATTTTCAATTGCCTGACTTTTGTTGTGGGATTCACATCTACAACCTCCATATCACACGCATGTTTTGCTGCCCATTAGGGGACTGCTGGCTGTGTTTCTGTGTCTGTATGTCTTTATGTTTGTGTGTCTGTCTGTTGCTCTGCATCTATATTCAGAGAGAGTCAATCAAAGCACAAACAGTGATATTTGTTCAGCTTAATTTGATGATCAGTTTAAACCAAAAAGTGTATAAATATAGGAAAAGTGATGGTGGATAAAGTCAGATTCTCCAATAAAGCAGTTTAACCCTATGTTGCATTGCTTTTAATTATTATTATCTTTTGCATTTATTTCATCTTGATTATAAATAACCACACAACCTTTCTGTGCTTCATAACTTATATAATTTACTCACTATAAACACTTACACTATACATATGTAATGCATGTCATGCCCTTTGGCTCTTTTTTGTTTGGCTTCATTCAACAATCCTGTTTAGTTTATTGCTGATTCCTTTTTGATTTTCCAGATTCATGCTTTGATTTTCTGATTTCTGTTCCTTTCTTCTCTCTCCTCTGTCTTTGCCCCTGTTTATTAGTGCTTTGAGCTCAAGCTAGGATCAAACAGTAATGGCAAATACACTGCAGTGTTTGTTTTAAGCCTGCCAGATGGGTGGATACACTACATACACTCATACACTACAGTCACTGTGCTGAACCACGAGGGACCCAATTCTGGTTCTTTTTCCTTCAAACCGACTAATAGTTGATGTTTCCTACTTTTGGATCCAGAGACCACACATGACTTGAATTTGTCATCATTTACTTGAAACGTGTTGTTACGTTGGCCCAACACTAACTTGGCTGAGCAGTGTTGGCACAGAGAATGAGAAACAACAATCATTAAAAGTACTTTTATTGAATTCTCAAAAAATTCTCAAATTCTCAAACCTAATCTCATAAAATAAAATAAAAACTGCCCATGAAATGTGTTGGATATAAGACGGAAATAGATTAGATTATATCCAGAAACGGAGATTGATTTTCAATGTGAAGGAAACCAAATTGTTTCTTGTGATTATTCTTACTTTATTCTACTTGTGTTGGCCACTTTGGTAAGCTCACACATCTGGCATAATATCTGGTATTTGCAAATACTATTTGACCAAGGTCAGGAATACTTACCTACATATGTTGCTTCGCTGCTCAAAGTCTAACTAACCATGATAAACCAGTGCTGTGGCTTGTGATAACCTCTTTCTCTCCAGCCACATCAGTACATGCTGTTTGATGGAGGCATGCAACATAGTGTTAATTTTTACTCTTCTCTTTTCAATCAAGGGCCAAACAGTCCAAAATTCCACGGTAATCCCCCACACTTTGTGTTCACACTTCACCCCAGTGTCTTTTTTTACACATTATTATCATGTAACTGCACAGTTTTTTACATCAAAGATATCAACAAGGGAGTTGCAAGTTCAACGCCTCTTTGCATTACAATCAGTCTTCATATTTTCTTTGTGTTTCAGCAGCGTTAACTGTACGTTTACCTCTGTGCTCTCTTCCTCAAACCAGCAAATCAGAAAGCTGCGCCGGGAGCTGGACGCCTCTCAGGAGAAGGTGGCGACCCTGACGTCTCAGCTGGCTGCCAACGTGAGTTTGTTTACTTCAAAAGACGTTGTCAAAACAGCCGGCTAATTTGCATGATAACCTGCTGTCAGAGAGCTTTTATGCGAAGTGTTGCCTATCGAAGCCCTGGAAGGAATATAAATCTTTGAGACGCCCACTAATTCCTTTTCTCTGTGTTTGAAGCCACCATGCGTGTATTTAGGCTTTTGCTTGTTTGATTTTTGTTGGTGTGTGTGTGTGTGTGTGTGTGTTTTCTTGTGTGTGTCTAAGGTACAGACAGGATTGTCTCTTGCTTTTGTCTCAGCCGGTGGGGTTTCAGTGAGAACAGGAGCCTCTCCCAAACTCAACCATGCAGGGAGAATCAAATAGAGGTAGACGGGCGTTGAGAGGGAACAGGGAGATGAGGATAAGTGAATCTAGACTCAAGTGCGTCATGCGTGGGTGAAACAGAGTGAGATACAGAGACCTCCAACCCCCAGACGGAGCTGTCTCTGTGCTGAAATGCAGATAGATCGACAAACTCCAGCGTGTGACTCGGCTCAGCCCACCACCCCACCAATGCTCGATGCCAAGTGCCTGATCAAGCGTGGAGGCAGACGGGGTCTTTGCTTCGGTCCAACGCTTTGATCACAAAGTTGTGCAGAGCTGAAACTGAAGGCTAAACTGCAGGAAAACTTGACAAAAGGAAGATAAAGACATGACTTTGTGTAAGAGTTATGTAGGGACAGTCAAACAACTTTTGGTTTGTTTTGCTCATGTGAAATTACTTGTTGAGTCTCACATAGATTTACTGTAACTATTCATAGATCTTTACATTTACAGTGTAGTCTCAGTGAAATAACTGAGCATTCAGTACTCTTAAAGGGGAACTCCACACATCAGTCTGTTTACAAATATCCTCAAGTGATGTCACTTGAGTCAGCATCAGTTGGCGTTGAAGACTATAAATCTGGTGGTGTGGCCTCTGTAGCCCATTCCTCATCTCTGCTAGGGGCTAGAGGCTTGAGGCTACATTAGCAGCTTCTGGCATGGCACACCTAAATCTCAAGCTGAACCGGCAGCTGTCGAGTTGCATTATAGGTTATGAAGGTGCCAGATTTTGACAAGCACTCTAACTATCCATCATGAGTTCGACAAGTTGTTGAAGGAGTGCAATGCTTAATCGGAGAGCCTGTGATGTTCAATACATTCAAAAAATATAGTAAAGTAAAAGCCGGCAGATGCAGCATCATGATGCACAGTATCTGATACTAGTTGGTTTGAAAAGCTACTAGCAGGATTGCCATTATCCTGCAACAAGCAAGAAAGAGATGTGGTAACACTGCGACAATTTAAAGCCGAAAAAACATTTGAGAATTAGTCAAGTATGGCGAGAAAAGCAATTTACACTAACTACACTTGAAAGCACCTAGTGGTTAGCTTAGCAACAAGTAAAGCTAGCAATCGGTCCATCAGGAAACTCTGTAAATCACCTCGATAATGTACTCAAACTGGCCTTATAACATTTTATGAGTCCAAATGGCACCACTTTATTTGAGCTCAAGTGAATTATTCGTGACACTGAATGACAATTAACAGTCATAAATATTAATAAAAACTCCTTCTTGTTCATGAGGTGTCCTGTCTTATGCACACCCCTTCAAATAAAAGTTTGCCCATATATTTTATTGTCCTAGCTCCTGTAGCTAGTGTTTAGTGTAGAAAAAATAATTTAATAAGAGATATAATCCCAGGCACAATCTCAATAAAGGACTCCAGTGTCTCACCATATCTGTTGTTGATATTGACTGGCCCTTAACAGGGTCACTGAGCATCCAAACAGCAGCAGGAAAGGCTACCAGTCTCCTGCCTTACTGTGCCAAGCCATATGCAAACACTTGCACAACAGAAACCCATATGTGCTTTACAGCTTCCACTCGGGGGAGCTGTAAAGCACATATGGGAAGTGGGTAGACAGTGGGGAGGCTAGAAATTTGAGGAAAAAAAACACATATCTTTTACTGGATCACACTGTATCTACATGACAGCGTGGTGGGCTGCTGGTGCTATAAGCTCATCTTATCCTCCCAGTGGGGAGTGGAAACGTCCTCACATGTTCTCCACCCACGGTCCAAAACTAGACATTCACTGTGACATCGCTTAATCATTTACACACTTCTGAACACATGTAGAAATATATATATGCATTTGTACATTCTTTATTTTTACATGCACATTTAGAGGCTCTGATGTGCGTTTTATATTGTCACCACAGAAAGAAAAACTGGTATTTTCAAAATGTCAGCTTCTCAAGAAGTATCACATTACTTCCTTAATGTGATATTATGTAACGCTAATTTCTTTGCCATTTATTCTTTAATATGGTGTGTACACTAAAAGGTCATTTCAATTTCATTGTGACTTCAAGTTGAACTTGTCACATGTGTTAAAACTCAACATACAGAGGAACACAATCCTGAAAGTTTAACCATTAAAATCCCCAAAACTGAGTCATGATTTCATCAAGAGTATATTTTACAGATAGAGACAAAGGGTGCTTTGTGGGGGAAAGATGTGCTGAATGATCTTGAGTGTTTAATTTAGGATGGTTGGATGCATTTTGGTTTCATCTCCTGTGTTTTTATCAGAGCCAGGAGGAAATGTTTCAGTGATTGAGGTCATCTGATCTTGATCTCTCTCATTAGCTGTGCCACTGCATACAAACATAATTATTATTGTCTTTTTGAATTGAATTTGGATCTTAAATAAAGTATTTTGGATGTGTCAATACCCTCGGCACGCTCTCACATTAAAAATATATTTGCTGCTGCACTGTCCTGTTGGATTACATACACTCTACAGATGGCATTTTGATTATTATGTGTTTATTTTTGGTTTTATTTGATCAAAATGAAGCAGAATTAGTAAAACCAACATCCTGTCAAAGGGATTAGATAGAACAAATGCTGCCTAACAGGTGAAGCATTGTACCACTCAGTATTTTTTGCTTTCAGCCAGTGGGGGGGCGGCGTACATTTTCCTGCCTGGACTGACATTAAGTCGGGTTTTAGAGTTCACAAAGGCTCTCCCCCTCCCCTCTCAATCTCCTTCTTCTCACCCTTCACTGTGTCAGCCTGTCCTTGTCGCCTCTCCCTTTCTGCTCACCCCTCCCTGCTCTTCTTATTCTTTTCCTCCTCCCTCATTCTGGCTGTATTCTTTCTCATCAGCCCTCCCTTTCTTGCTGTAGTGTTTAAAGAATGTAGCCCAGCAGTAGGTGCTGGCTTAGACCACTGTAGTCGTGACTCCGCTTCATTCATTAAGATGTCATCCACATCTTTAGCGGTGGTGTCCGGCCGCACCAACACCGACGGCTTCTCCTCGTCCGGTTCAGTAGTTTGGCCCACCGTCAACCTCTACCCCAGGCCCCAGGATCAGGACTGTGGTCAGAAAGACGGGGGTTCAGGGGCCAAGCGTGGATGCCCGGGCCGGGCCCCAGGAGCAGGACAGATGGGTCAGCCGTGGGATGCGTTAGAGCCCGATCGGCGCCTCCCACAGGGTGGACAGGTGGGCAGGGGGGTGTTGAGTCGGAGCTCACAGGTGGAGTTGGAAAGAGATGTGGAGTTGGAGAGATGAGCTGGAACAGTTGGCATTTCTAAAGGTCAAGACCTTTGCTGATTCAGCCAGGGACACAGAATGGAAGAGGCAGCACAGGGTGCTACTGTGTGTGTGTGTGTGTGTGTGTGTGTGTATTTGTTTCTAGATTCGTGAGGTCCTAAAGTCCTAACAAGGATAGAAAGACGAGGAATTTTCTCATTCTGACAGAGCTGTTTTGGGGCTAGATTGCGCATTTGGTAACTAATGCTGTTAAATTCAGTAATTAAAAGTTATCTAATTATGCAAGTGTGTGTGTGTGTGTGTGTGTGTGGTAGGGGGGGTTACTGGACCTGATCAGCTGGGCCTTAGGCACTGAAGTCCAGACCTGCTCCTGGC